GGAGGCAGCTCACCGTGCCCACACGCACCCCTAATGACAGCCTGCTGACCACAGAAACACCCCAAAAGGAAACCTGAGCTCTGCCAGACCACAAACTCTGCCAGCCCACAATCAAAATCCCAGTCTGCCAAGCACCTGCAGCACAGCCTTAGCACAGCTTCGTCAGTCTGTAAACAAAGAATGAGCAATAATTACCAGGAATATGGAGAATTGATTCACAGCTGACTAAAGCATTGATGCAGCAGGGAACACGTTGAGCTGGGCGGGGGATAAGCTGGCTGAAGATTGAGGGAATTCCTGTGAAGAGTTAATCGGTGCTAATGAGATAGATCAGAAAGCAGGAACAGGGTGTGAAACTTTGGTGTTTCTAATAGCAGCTGGATGTTTGCAATGACAGTTTCAGGACTGGTTAGCAACACGAGCAAATGAAGAACTAAAGTTTCTTTTTTTTTTAAAAAAAAAAAAAGCACTCGAGCACTGCTCTTAATAGCACCAAGCTCCACAACAGAAGAGTGAAAAGCTTTTTCCAGAATTATGACCCACTTCTGCCAGCACCTGAAATGCTGCTAGAGCAAGAACACTCAAAAGCAGCCCTTGCCAAGTGCCCAACATGGGCTGAGAGACAAGTCAGAGCCCTTCCACGTACACTTCATCAAGGTTTCCATCATGTTCCTTAACCTGACAGCCCAGAAGGCAGCAAGAGATGGCCCACAGGAGGAAACCAGACACTACACCCTTGCCTTCAAGCATACAAACATAGAAAGGTAGAACCATTCAAGGTTTGCCCTATATTTTATTTGATGGTAAATAAAATCCACCAGCCATATGCTATAAATGATCAGCAAATTATTAAAACACACAAACAAGACAGCCCTCAGGTGTGTTTTTAATAGGTTAAGTGGTTAGTAAGGCTGAGACATTCCACCCTATGTAACACATTTCCCAAAGGCAACAGGAAAAATTGTCAACACGTGTGTTGAGAACTTAAACCAAAGCGTGTGCTACTCCATAAACAAGGAGGGTGCTGCAACAAACCAGTGGAGTATGAAATATCATGCCAGTTCTTCCTATCCAAAGAAAAAAGCCAGAGAGCCATTAACACACCAGTGCCAGCTCCTGCAGCGGCGAGGGCTTCTCCTGCCATACCGAACGCTGACTCAGACTTCAATCCTTACCAGACAAGCCTCTCTGTCTAACAGGAAGCACACGAGCAAAAGCCCTACAGAGATAAAGCACGGAAAAGCACACATCTTGGTGCTCTATCAGCAGATCTCACCTCCCATTTCCATAGAAAACTGGGGCGTCAAGAGCCACCCAGCAGCCAAGTGCACAACTGCACGTTTTCTTTTGCCGCTCTCCACTTCTGACTCATGTTTAAGCACTGGGACTTGAACACAGTAAGAGCAGACTTTACAACAGTAAACTTTACAACTCTGGTTATTAAAGGAGAATAAAAATGAAGCACCAAGCACGTTGTACCACTTTTGCTCCTCGATCTTGCAAGCATGCTCAGGCAAAGTTAAGTCAAGAGGCACCTGCACAACACCTGCACCCCAAAGTTAAGCTGCCTGGGGTGGTCTCACGGTGGAGAACACACATTTCTGTCATTACACACATCAGCAGGAGGCAAACCAGGCTGAGCAGCAGCACATCAGCAAGGAGATTTCACCCTGGGAGAGGCTGAACCCCAAGCAGATGCTGAACCCTGGGCACACCTCCCACAGCCTGTATAGCAGAAAAATGATAATGCAGCCCCCCAGCAGAAAGGATGAGGCGGTTCCCAACCACCACAGCACCACAACACCCCCAAACACCCCTCAGGAGCCACCCGGGTGGCCAAGAGAGACGTGCCCCCATACCCCAACACCCCCCTGAGGCGGTGCCAAAGGGGGAACCCAACAAAGCAGCGGGCAAACGGAGCAGCCCCCCAACACCTCAGACGCCCCTAAACCAGGGGTCCCGGCCCACCTGGCAGAAGCAGCGGCGTTCAGCACTGCCGGGAGGCCCTCGGGGCACGGCGGGGAGCAGCAGGGCAGCGAGGCCCAGCGCCCGCAGCAGCCCGGCCCCCGCCGCCATCTCACGACGGCGCCGCCGCGGCCGGCGGGGGCTGAAGAAGCCGCGGCCCTGCCCCGCTCCGCCCTCGGGGGCCGTGCCCGTCCTCGGGTGCCGCCTTGTTTTACATCAGATGTCCCAGTTTGAGGAGGGGAAGGAGGAAATTGTTGACGTTAAAGGGGTTGGGGTACTCGTACAGGTTGTGCGGAGGAGTTGTGGGGTGCCTGGTAGGTGCCTAAGATCAGGCGGGATGGGGCTGGGGTTGTGCCCATGTCCCTGAGCGGTCACAGAATCACTAAAATTGGAAAAGACCTTCAAGATAATCTCCTCCAACCATCCCCTACCACCAATGTCACCACTAAACAACAGTCCCCAAGCACCACGTCCAACCTGTCCTTGAACACCCCCAGGGACGGTGACTCCCCCACCTCCCTGGGCAACCCGTCCCAACGCCTGCCTGCTCTTTCTGAGCAGAAATGTCTCCTCATTTCCCACCTGAACCTCCCCTGGCACAACTTGAGGCCATTCCCTCTGGTCCCATCACCAGTTATCTGTGAGCAGAGGCCGACCCCCAGCTCCCCACCCCTTCCATTCAGGCAGTTGCAATGAGGTCTCCCTGAGCCTCCCCTTCCCCAGCCCAAACCCCCCCATTTGCCTCAGCTGCTCCTCACAGGACTTGTGTCCCATGCCCTTCCCCAGCTTCGTAGCCCTTTGGACATGTTCCAGGGCCTCGATGTCCTGCCCTGGGGCTCTCCATGAGGCACGGAGCAGGGCTGTTCCCCAAATGTCCGTAATGGTGACTCCTTTTCCCTGCCTTCTCCACCTTCATGGGGAAGTGAGGGCGTGCAAGGTAGAGGCCAAGGGATGGCTACAGCAGCTTCCTTTTTTGCCCCCTTTCCTCCCAAAATTTCCCAGTTTCAGCTGCGGAAAAAACACATCCGGGTTCTGTTTCCACAGGCCTTGGCTGCTCCTTAATCTATAAACTTACGCCAGTCAGCATTACGTCCACGCTCATTAACTGGATTTACAATTAAACTGTGAATAATCTAGCATCTTGATGAAATGATCTCGCACCTTGTGAGGCCCCACCTGAAGTACTGTGTCCAGGTCTGGGGTTCCCAGCGCAAGAAGGATGTGGGGTGTTGGAGAAGGTCCAGAGGAGGCCACAAAAATGATCAAGGAGCTGAAGGACCTCTGCTGTGAAAAAAAGTTAAGGGAGCTGGGGGTGTTCAGCCTGAAGAGAAGGCTCCGGGGTGACCTTATTGTAGCTTTTCAGTACTTAAAAGGGGCTTATAAAAAAAGATGGAGAAAGACTTTTTGCTCAATCAGATAATGACCAGACAAGGCGCAATGGTTTTAAACTAAAAGAAGAGAGATTTAGATGAGAGGTTAGATGGAAATTCTGCACTCGGAGGGTGGTGAGGCACTGGAACGGGTTGCCCAGAGGAGGTTGTGGATGCCCCATCCCTGGAGGTGCTCAAGACCAGGTTCAATGGGGCCCTGGGCAACCTCATCTAGGGGGAGGCATCCCTGCCTATGGCAGGGGGCTGAAACAGGGTAGTCTTTAAGGTCTCTTCCAACCCAAGCTGTTCTGTGATCTTTTCCTCAACACCTTCAAAGATCCCAAAGGGCCCAGAGACAGGGTGAAGCCACCTGTGATGGGTGATCACAGCCAGTCATGGCAGGCAGGAGCTGCCAGGGGGCTCCTGAGGAGGCCAGGGCCCAGCGCTGCCTCAGGACAGAGCCCTCACAGCCAGCATCCTCTTCCTCACCCCTACAAACAACCCCTGAGCTCAGGCAGGTGTTGTGGCGGTGGGAGCCACCCAGGATCCCCCCATAAACACACATACACATGTATATGCACATATATACACTTATATATGCCTAGTGACAGGATGAGCGGGAATGGGCTAAAGTTGTGCCAGGGGAGGTTCAGGTTGGATATTAGGAAGAACTTCTTTACCGAAAGGGTTGTGAGGCATTGGAATGGGCTGCCCAGGGAAGTGGTGGAGTCACCATCCCTGGAAGTCTTTAAAAGACATTGAGACGTAGAGCTTAGGGATATGGCTTAGAGGAGGACTGGTTAGTGTTAGGCCAGAGGTTGGACTGGGTGCTCTTGGAGGTCTCTTCCAACCTAGATGATTGTGTGATTCTGTGATATACACATATATACACACAAGTATACACATATACACATATGTATATACGTATATATGTATACATGTATATATGTGCCTGTATACACATATACACATCTATACACATATATACCCATATATACACATATGCACACACATATATATGTATTTATGCATATATACACATGTGCACACGCATATAGATATGTATTCATGCATATATACACACATATGCACACACACACATATATGTATTTATACATATATGCACATACACACATATATATACTTATTACACATGTATACATGTGTATATGTATATACATATATACATGTATAGGCACATATACACGCATATATGCGCATATACACACGTCTGAATGTATATATACAAATATACACTGGTATAACCATATATATACACATATACACACATATATACGCACATATACACACATATATACGCATATATACACACATACACACGTATATACGCACATATACACATGTATATACGCATATATGCACATAAAGACACATATATACGCATATATCCACATATACACGCACACATACACGTACACACACCCACAGCCCCCACCCCGCCCTCCACCGCCTCAGTGAGGCCCCGCACGTCGCCTCCCCCCTCCCTTCCCCCCCACCGCTCTGCGCATGCGTACAACGCACCGCGCACCCCCCACCCCTCCCCACCCCTCCGCGCCGCCAGAGGGCGCCGGGACCAGCGGAGGGGGCGTGGCCATGACGAAAAGGGGCGTGGCCTAGCACAAAAGGGGCGTGGTTTTGGCGCAAGGGGGCGTGGTCGAGGCCCCGCCCCCCGGCGCCATGGCCCTTCCCGGCATTCCCTATGAGCGGCGGCTGCTCATCATGGCGGACCCGCGGGACAAGGCGCTGCAGGACTACCGCAAGAAGCTGCTGGAGCACAAGGAGATCGACGGCCGCCTCAAGGAGCGTGAGTGCACACCGCTTATAGCACCCGGAGCCGTTAGGGAGGGGAGCCGTGAGGAGATTCGCGGCCCCTCAGGCGCCGCCGCCGCCGCTGCGCTTCGTCACGGGCCTGCTCCAGGCCTTGTGCTGAGGCACCGGGGCCTGCGGCTGCCTCACGGCCCGGCCCCCGGCACCTCACGGGGCTTCTCCGGGTGCTGCTCGTGAGGAGGGGCACGGAATCCAGCGCAGCGCTGAGCTGGGGCCTCAGCACGGGGGGATGGCGCCTTCCCGGTTCTCCTCAGAGCCCGGCTGCCGTTAAAATCCACGTTTTAAATACCATTTTGGGGTTTTGGAGCCCCAAAATACTTAATTCTGTTTTTTTAATGCTGCCACGCTCTGCTGTATTGGGCAGAGTCTCCTGTGCTCGCAGCGGGATGAGTTGCTGGGTCCCGCCTGCTGTGGGAGGGCCTGGTGCCGCGTTCCTTATAGATTAAAAGTTACCCAAATCTGGTGTTTCTTTCCTTTCCTAGTGAGGGAGCAGCTGAAGGAGCTCACCAAGCAATATGAGAAGTCAGAGAATGATCTTAAGGCATTGCAGAGCGTCGGGCAGGTATGTGGGAGGAATGGGGGTAGAGCAGCCTGTGGGGGTGGTTGATGGGGAACTTGTCCAGAAGTAGCAGTTGTCGAGTCCACTTCTGGTGCGAAGAAAAAGCAGGTGGAAACAGTACAGCTAATGGCAAAAGAAGCCTTACTGCATACAGACACATCAAGCACATGGGTTAGAGAAGTTCTCTGTGTTTATCCTGTTTAACAGAGATGTTTTAAAGAAATTTTCTTGAAGCAGGATAGAGAATTTAATTTCCAAGTCAGCAGTTATCTTCCGTGTTCTGAAACATGTTAAATATCATTTGGCAAGGCTAATTTATCTGTAGGCTAATACTGGATTTATTCTTTTGCAGATTGTTGGTGAGGTGCTTAAACAGTTAACAGAAGAGAAATGTAAGTACGCTGGATTGTTTCAGGCTTTGAAATCCTGAAAATAATCTTTTGCAGTTAAAAACTTGTCTAAAGATTTGGTGGAATAAAAAATAAGCATATCAGGGATGCGAGCATTAGCAGAAAAATATAATATGTCAACTCAGAAGTGTAATTCAGAGCAGTGCATCAAGTAAACTTGACCTTTTCTTTGATTTTTCTCTCTCTAGTTATTGTGAAGGCTACGAATGGCCCAAGATATGTGGTTGGCTGTCGCCGTCAGGTAGCTGATTTATGTGAATATTCTTAAAATGTTTGTTTTGGTCTTGAATATTAGCATTGCTTTGGATGAGCCCTGTTCTTAATGGGATTAAGTGTTTTGTTTTGTTTTTTTTAAAGCTGTATATGGCTACTTTATAAAGGGATCTGTTTGTTTTCTCCTTTCCTAGCTTGTGGTAGACTAATTTCATTGTAGAGACAAAGCAGTCCAAAACATTTCTGGAACCTTGCATGTGTTTATCTTTTTCATTGGTGTGAAGCTCTGTCTTTCTGCCTGAACTTGAACTCTGAAAATTAATCATCATGCCATCGAACTGTGTGAGGTCTCCCTTGCTATACTGTAAACATTACCCGGGACTGTAGCTGTTATGCAAAGGTTTAGGTCTAGTGTAGCATAACTGTATGTTTAGTTATGTTTTTATAATGCTTTTTTAGTCTACTTCCATAAATAATTATAGGCAAGACCTCTGTTCTGAACACATTATCAGGATTTTTTATTTTTATTTAATGACTTTAAAAAAGGCTTCAATGCTTCCTAGTTTGTAGGACAACCCCTTTTTCAGCTACATAAAATTTTATAAAAGCTGCCCAACTTAATACGGAACCATGCTTACAAAATAATCCATCTTATACAGTCAGCAAGAACCAGTTTAGGGGTACTCTTTATTTTCTATTTCTGTACAAAAGTATAAGTGATACATCGCAGACATGGCTTAAGAACTGCTGGTTGGTTAATTGAGCATTGGAAGCGACCCGCTTCCAGTAATTAAAACCCTGTGGATCAGCAATTCCGTACCAAAGCTATCTATTGCTTAGGAGCCACAACTCTTAGTGAAAGCATTCGGCAACTGCAGAGCCATTGTGGGCAGAAGGGAATCTCTGATTGGATTCAGCTAGACTCATCCCTGACTGACATATTCATCTTTGCTCCTATCTACGAATGAAATCTGCTTTCTGAATAGGATTGTGTATCCTGAGAAGGCAGCAGCGTTTTATTTAGCTGTCTTACTGCACAGATAAGTGTAGTTTCCTTTAACAGCTGTGACCTCTCAGTTCACCTCAAACTGATTTATTTTGTGAAGGTAACTGCAGTTGCAATTTTAAAGCCTCATGATTAGTATAGCGTGTTCTGGCATATTATATAAATAACGAAAAAGAGTTTTTTTTTTTTCAGTGAAAGGTACGCCAGTGTAGTATTGGTGCTACAGTTGGCTTGTCTTTCTGCAGGGAAACTGATCTTCATTATGGAATTTTCAGTTCTGAACTGTTTCTGCTGAAAGAAAGAAAACGTGTTTGCAAATTCTTTGCAGTACCCTGGTTCTCTGAATTAATTTAAGCTTTATACCTGGAAGTTAATTTGAAGTACAGCATACTAATGTGCAAGTTAACCCAACTCTATTTTGATGATTCATCTGTGATGGAGTTGTGGTAGCTGAGGGAGAGGTTGAGGCAACCAGGAAGTGGCAGACTGGGGAGATTTTTATACTTGAAAGAACTTCAAAAGGTTGTTGTTGCTGGGGGGGGCGGTCTAGCTGTCAGGAATTTCAGGTGAAGGCCCACAGTTAACAAAACTTAGGAGCAGGCAATGAACAAAACTCCTGCAGGAAGCATTTTCTCATCGTGTTGACTGTCAATAGATTGTATTGTATTTTTTTCAGTAACAGTGGATGTTTTCTCCTCCTAGAAACAAACTATTTGGGAAATAGGAGTGTCAGTGTGTCAGTTGATGTAGTATAAATCCATTTATCTATGACTTTCCTCAAGAATATGGCTGTGGTATGGTTCTGCTTGCATAAAACATCGGCAGTAATTGCTAGTATTGAAATGCTCTTTAAATGCATACTTGTAAGCTTCAACCCTGTCAATATGTTATGGCACAAACTCACTATTTTCTTTCACAGGAATAAAGAAATATCTCTCTGCAACACATGATAGGCTTGACAAGTTAGTCTTGAGGTTCAGAACAAAGATAAATGCTGAGGAATAAATTGTTCTTGGATGGGTCTGGCCTTGCAGCATGTACCCTGCAGTTTATTCTGGAACAAAAACCACTCTTTGATCTTAAAAGATCCTAGATTTGACAGGAAGAAGCCTAAAAAAAACCCACATATCCATGATTGTTTTCAAAATGCCGAAATATCAAGGTAAATAACTTTGCACGGTGTTTTGCAGCCTACAAGAGCTGGGTTTTGATCCAGCTCCTTGTGGCTGTGCTGAGAAAGGGGATCCATAGAGCTTCAATTAAAACAAAATTACTTCCCTATCTAAAGCGCACTTCCCAAGGAATTCAGGGTCAATTGGTTTCTTTTTGTCTTTTCGATGCAGAATGACTTAAATCTCTTGAGCAGTGTTGAATCTGATAGAAATACCAGCTTCTACATGCTTCTTAAGGTTAGGCAGCTGGAAAGTGGGTCTTATCAGTGACTCGAGTAACAGAGGAGTGACAGCTTGATCCTAAACCCTGCTAGAGACTAAATAACCCGTGCTGGCAAGGGCCCTTATAAATCTCCCGGGGGGGGAGATGGAAAGCTTCAGGCACTGCTCGCAAACAGTTGTAGAAATCTGTAGAAATGTGTTCAGATGCCACGTTAGTAAAGCTCAGAAAAAATAAGTTTTATATTCATCAAATGTAGATTGAGTACCTTTAAAAAAAAATAAATCAGTGACATGATAATTTTTTTTATGATTGTTGTTGTTCAAGTCCCTATTGTATGAGATGTGCAACTGCAGTCCTAGACCAGGTTTCTTAAAAGCAAGGTGAGAAACAAAAATTACTAGTTTTAAATATAAAACTAATTGCCAGCAGGTAGCACGGAGTCCTGGAATAGGATTATAAATCTCAAACTTTCTTTTTAAAACTTAAAAAAAATAATAATAAAAAATCTTGTAGAAGTGGAGTAGGCAGACAAAAACTTCTGAGGCAGATGAGTAGGGCATCTGAGGTAAATGACAGAAAAAAAAAAAAACAACAAACAACTGGAACAGCTGACTTTGAAGATGAGAGATAACTGGATATGTGAAATTAACAAACAATGAAAGGCTGGAAGGAAATAGGTCAGGAACATCTATGCACCCTTTCTGACAGGCCAGAAATGAGAGAGCCATTGACTAGACTGGTGGCAAGTTCAGGCTCAAAGGGGCAGGCTGCTCCTTGTGTCCTTAAAGGATTGCTTGCTCGTTCTGAAACAGCTGGTTCCATCCCGTGCTGGGCAGAGGGGAGGGCTAGATCTCTCACTGCTCTTGTCACACTGACGGTAGTTAAAAAACAAAGTGTATGTATGAATTATGGTCTAGAAAACTATTTTCAAAAGTAGCAGAAGTTCAAGATCTCTTTCAGCATTAAAAAATAACTTTCTCTGGCCTCTTCTAGCTTTTCTGTCTTCTGAATGTGGAAACTTCCAGGTTCGTTGGTCTATACCAGCTCCTGGCTCACTTTGTGTTCCCATGGCCAGCTTTTTCCCAGTTCAAGCATTCCCAAAAATGGTGGTGAGGGACAGGCAGTGTTTACTAGAGTAGCTGCTTGGCATGTAGCTTAGCAGCCTTGTTTCTTCTCGCGTGTGACTGAGCAAAGCCTACAAGTTACAATAAACATCTTGGCTAAAACCAAATGTTGTTTTGGAACGTGGTTCTAACAGAAATACCTTCTTTGTCACTAGCTTGACAAAAGTAAGCTGAAGCCCGGGACAAGAGTTGCTCTGGATATGACCACTCTGACTATTATGAGGTGGGTGTCTGCTCTTACAGCTGCTGTTCTGCTTACATGGAAAGGGGAAAGAACACTGATCTGAATAGGTTACACCAAAGTTTGAATAATCAGTTATATTTTGTAAATATTTTCTGTAAAATGGTGCTTAAGTAAGGACTTTTTGTTGTGGAAAGTCAAGTATCTGTCAACTAGCTTAAAAAGCAGTTGGCTACTCATTTAAAAAATAATTTCCTTTACAACTCAGCCATTTCAGCATCTTTTTGAGCTTTTGTTTCAGTTTTCTGTAAGGCTTTTAAAATTTTGCTACGTGTATTTCTTAACAAATGTTTGTTTTGTTTTAAGGTGAAAGGAGAATAAACAACTTTCATACTTGCTCTAGGAATTATTGCAATAACTGTATACATGCCTGCACAATTAAATATGCATACTCTTATTTTTTTTTTTTATTCCAGATACTTGCCAAGGGAAGTGGATCCACTGGTGTATAATATGTCTCATGAAGACCCAGGGGATGTTTCGTACTCTGAGATTGGAGGGTTGTCAGAACAAATCAGAGAGCTGCGAGAGGTATCTGCTCTCTCAAAACGCTTACCAAGTAGTGGGATGTGTTCTGAGTGAAGTTTTTCAGTGTTTAAATGTTTTATTGATGTTTATCCTAAACTACCATGAGAGAGGCTGTTAGAGGATCCTGTCAGATGAGTGCTTTGTGTGTTTCATTAACTTTTTCTATGCTAGAAGATAACTTGTGAAGTGATTTTAAATGTTTTTCAGCTTTGCAATTGTGTTTATGGCAAACAGCAATGTGATCCAGGATGCTGGTGCACTCACACTGAAGTAATTCTGTTAGTTTGGGCATCAGTGCCGCAGGCTGAGCAAGCCTGCCCAGGAATGTGGGTGTTTGAAGACTCACTCATGCTGCTGTGAGCCATCTGACTATAACAGAGATTGTTTGTGTGCTGTGCACACACCTTACAGTAGCAGAGAAAGATTATTCTGAACACCACATCCCAATTTTCAAGCTGGTTATAACTCATCTCTGCTGTTACAGGAGCTGGGATTGAAATTTAAATGAAGAAAATCTTCTAAAGAAGAGGGTTTGAAAGATGCAAGACCCTTTAAGCTAAGGGAGCACTATAAAGTCAACTGAGAGGGCGTAGTTAGGTGTGACAGCCAACAAACCAGGCTAATTCTGCACAGAAACAGCTAAAATTGCTTCAGGTAGTTGTATTACAACAGTGGGAAAACATGGTTTGAATGAATGTCAAGAGAAACAAGGGCAGGACTGTGGATTGATCAGTTAGATCAATCAGGTGCTTTCTTACTCATCCGTTTCTCATCCAAAAATATGCTGCACAGATAGCTAAGAATACAGCTATCTAGAAAACAGGCTGGCAAGTGTTCCGTTAGCTTCCTGAGATCACTGATCTATTTTAAAACTGAATCAAAGTCACTGTTTTTCTGTCTCTTCACAGGTAATAGAATTGCCACTCACAAACCCAGAACTGTTCCAGCGTGTGGGTATCATACCTCCAAAAGGCTGCCTGCTCTACGGCCCCCCTGGTGAGTGATTCAGTGTTGATATCTCTTAGCTCCTGTGGCTCCCACTCACTGAGGTGGGGTGAGGCTTAAGGGTGATGTTCAGACTCGTTAACCTCTTGGGTAATTAGCGATGCAATGCCCCCCATATGCCGCTTCTGTGGGCGGGAGCACATCAGGAGAAAATTCAGGGGGCAGCCAGAGCACTGAGATGTTGTTCCCTTTCGGTGGATCTCAGAGTATAAAAGGAACAGAGTGGATTCAGTAGATTTCAGAGTATAAAAGGGTGGCAGTGCAGCTCCCCCCATCCCACACCAAGCCCCTGACAGACCTTTCAGACAGATAAGAACTGAAATTCTCCTAGAATCAAATGGAAACGAAAGCTTAGTGGTCATGCTTGGATGCAATAGCCTTTTTTGTTTGTTTTAAAGTTGCTAACGTAATGTTGGGTTACTAGTTAAACATTTTTTGTCCTCTTGTCTGTGCAGGTACAGGGAAAACACTTTTGGCCAGAGCTGTTGCTAGCCAGCTTGACTGCAACTTCCTGAAGGTAGTTTAACCTTAATTCTGCACGCACATGTGCTTAATGTTTGCTCTCCAATCTCTTCACTCGTGTTTCTTATGCCTTTCAAAAGGTGGTGTCAAGTTCAATAGTGGATAAGTACATTGGTGAAAGCGCTCGGCTGATCAGAGAGATGTTCAACTACGCCAGAGATCACCAGCCGTGCATCATCTTCATGGATGAGATAGACGCTATTGGTAAGGCTCGTGGTCTGGAGGATGGCTGGAGGCTCTTTTTAGCACAAAGCAGCTACAGAGCTACTGTCTGTCTTCTGAACAAAGATATTTACATGCTGTGTTTTGAGAGGAAACATAAAAGAGCAAAGTGGTTCAACTTCCTTCTTGCTGGAGCTATGACAGCTGGCTGGGAACCATAATGATTCATATGTGGCTTAGATTTTTCCAGCTATATGAAACTACATTTTAGAATGTGTGTGTTTAAGCAACTCATCCCTCCCTTCCTCTCCCCCGTTAAAAGGGGTGCCTTATTGTCTTCAGACATAGCGTTATGTGGAGGCAGAAGTAAAGGATTGTAACTGAGTTTGGTATTCTGCAGGTGGCCGCCGTTTTTCTGAAGGCACCTCAGCTGACAGAGAAATTCAGAGGACTCTGATGGAGGTGAGTGCCTGAACTCTGACTGCACAATGCATGGTCCTATTTAAGATGGAGTTATAACACAAGTGTGAATTGTTACACTGGAATCTGGCTTGGTAGAACTTTTTCTGAGTTAATATCTTCAGCTAAATTGATCTAGATGCTGCTTTTCTAAAAGGTAGCTGCATATCCTCCTAACTCGACTGAATCCAACTTGGAGACTAATTGAAAGAAAAAATGCTTTTAAATTTGCTAAAATAGTTTGGGAGTATTTTTTCTTCTTACTTCAATATGATTCTGTGTACTGCATTTCTTTGTTTCAAGGGCCTCCTCTTAAAAGAGGAAAAGGAGAGCTTGTCTCTTATTCCCAAGACACTTGGTTCACAAAATCTTTGAACTTGTACAGTTTGATTCCTGAAACTAGGACCGTTATTTCTTTGTTTCTGCACTAAATGTTGCAGTGAATCTGGCTGTGTGGAGAGAATTTTTAAAACACTGGTGACAATTAAGAATTCTAAAGCTAGGGAGAGACTTCATTGGCCTGTGTATGCAAACAGTTTGTCCAGTTCAAAAGAATGTGTCTGCCTCACATAAAGAATTAAATCATTGTGATCGAAGAACAAGTACTTCGGATCTTCACAATGAAATGTCTTCATATGTGTATTAGTATTCTAGAGGCTGTTCTCCAAGTCTAATTTGAATGTCCTGGACTTAGTGTATTGCACTCAGAATGTGTCAGCCAGCCACTGAGTCCTTTAGTACTTGCACTGTTTTCATTGCCGTATTGTTTTAGCCAAGTCTTTCACATTTGAGCTCTGCTTTGTTCGATATCTTTTTCTCTGAATGAAGCATTTTCAGTGGCTCTTAAGCTTTCTTTTATTGGTTATAGAATATGCAGGAAGCTGTGACCTTTTAGAAAGCTTGTAGCATTTTTCCTAATTTATTTTACCACGTTTATTAACTTGGTGGAAGTACATATGCAGGAATTAAGTGCAGTAAATAAGCCAAAACCCTCTAGCGTGTTCTAAAACCAAACTTCTCTTTCTTCTAGCTGTTGAATCAGATGGATGGATTTGATACTCTGCACAGAGTTAAAATGATCATGGCTACTAACAGACCAGACACGCTGGATCCTGCGCTTCTGCGGCCTGGAAGGCTGGATAGAAAGATCCGTGAGTTACTTCAGCACAGTGACTGGAAGGAGGATGTCATCTGTGTGAAGTGTGCTGCTTTCATTAAAGCTGTAATTCTTTCCAGATATCGATCTACCAAACGAACAAGCCAGATTAGATATTCTGAAGATTCACGCAGGTCCTATCACTAAACACGGTGAAATAGGTAAGTAGAAAACTGCCTGGGTGTTCTACTTTGGTTTTTAGAAGTGTAAGGAGGGTTGTTAGACCGACTCTGAGGCACTTGGGGTTCCTATCCTTACAACGGCAAGAAAACTTTCCCTTCTCAGAATTCTACTTTAAAAAAAAATAAAACAAATCCTGATTGAGTTGTGCTAATCCTCCCTTTGCAAAAGATAAGTGCATGTGTTGAAAATGAGCCTTAGAGTGCAGCTGTAAACCAGCAAATGGGCATGATCCTCATCAGTTAGTTTCTTTTTTTATGAGGGAATAGCTTAATGCAAGCAAACAGCATTACCTTTAGCCAAAAAAGAAGTCCTACTGCAGGAGTCTGAGAACAAAAGAACTTCTAAGAGTCATAGAGCAACTTAACCTCGGAGTATGGAGATGGCATAACGAAAACCTTGTTATCTGAAACCAAGCTTGTCTTTGCTGGTTATTGCTGTAGAGAGCCTTCTCCAGAGGGGAGAAATATCTGTCAGATAAAACGGGGAAGGTTCATTTATACAGCGTTACTCTAAGCTTCTCCAAAGTCTTATTCTCACAGTAAAAGCTGCAGAGCCTTCCTCGAGAAAGCTGTAATTGTGATTTGACTTGAAAACAATGTTGGCTGCCTTTTATTTCGGTATGGCTCTGCAGACCCTGCCTGCCTGTTCCCAGCCCTGTGCTGCCCCCCACTCCGCCCCCGCCTTTTTGCTGACATGAGCTATTCAGGCAGCCAGGCAGCATGATCTGGATAGTGGAACTGATCTCGTTCACCATCTGGCTGCACAAACAGCTGCAGCTCAATAGAGAGGGTGGCTCAGGAGCAGGAATGAGCTGGGGGAGGGTGAGAGGGATGAGGATTGCCTTTCTTAGCAGCAGTGTTGGTTTAAACGTGCATCAGACTGTAGCTGAAGATACAGAAGATGCTCCAAGGCAAATCATGAACCTGAGGTAACGTACTTCATTCTTTCTCTGCATCTTTGGGCACTGGAATGGAAGCAGGGTAGGAGCTTTTCCTTTATATCATGTAGCAAAGTGAGATGTAAGATGCTGGCTAAACTTCTGAATGTGATATCCTGGAAGGAAGTCCCAAATGAGCCAAATGGGGTGTGAGCTTCATTAAAATCTTAAGATTGACCTGTCCCAGGTTCCAGCATGAGGTTCTCCTGCTCTAGTACTGGTGCCTACTGAAGACTTGAACTGACCAAACTTTGCAGCTTTTGATATGGCTTTAGTCCCCTGTCACTCCTCCCCCCAGCGTGCTACAAGGAATTAGCAAATAAAGAATTTCTAGTCTCTAGGTCTTTCTGGATTCTAAGATAAAAGCTTCCAGTTCAAATGTTTTGAGTTTCATCCATTAGGTAAACTGTTTCAAAAAGTTCTGCAGAGAAGTCCTGACTTTTTAATGTGAAGCCTTGCAAAATGGCTTTTTTTAATGAGCAGCACTGAAGGCTCAACAGTCTGTTTTAGAAACTCATTACAGAAACTATAACCAGGCTTCCTATGTCAAGGCGTTTAATGCCTTTTGGAGATGCAGTTATAATAAGAAAGGGACTGAGATGATCACTTCCATTTAAATTTTCTGTTTTTGTTTTGCTTTTTACATCATTTAAATGATGATAACGTTTCCTTGATATGTGTTTTCTTGCGTTTTATGTCAATGCTTGTAACCTCAAATTAGTGACTTTGGGATTTAACTACATAACATGAGCTTTTGGCTGAGGTACCTTTCCTTGTTAATGAAAGGGAGAATACAGCAGATTGGTTCAGCTGATTAAATTTATCAATCTGGTAGTCAGCTATCTATTTGCACTGAAATCAAAGTAAAGTGTTCCTTTGTTAGCTGGGCGTGTGTTTCAGTGGTATCCATAAGGGGAAATGTGAATTTATTTCTAATTGGCACTTGTGTTTTGTGAATAGATTATGAAGCAATTGTGAAGCTTTCTGATGGTTTTAATGGAGCAGACTTGAGAAACGTCTGTACCGAAGCAGGTATTCTCTTTGTTCTTAATTTTGATGGGCTTGTTTCATGCTAAACATTTGAGCTGTTTCTCACGTGCGATTAAAATCTCATGAGTCGATTAAAATCAGGAGGATAGAAATACTGAGCTGGAATATGGTCCTTGCATGCTGGTGCTCACTTTTTGTACCCCTTTCTTAAGGGGTGGACAGCACTTACTGGAAATGCTAGCATCTCATCAGTAGCAACATGCCAAAACAGTTGCTTACCTCACAGCATGTCCCATGTGTCTAGACTGTGAAGCGTAAGCAGCCACGTGGTGGTATGCCCTGAAGCTTGATGGAATAACTTGAACAAAATAGCTTTTCTTCCAAGTTTCCTTATGACCTATACAGTCACGATGGACTTGATTCTTTACATCTTCCCTCTAAGGTTATGGACAAGTATCTTATTGGGTCTGCCAATAAACCAGCTAGACATACAGATGTTCCAGCTGATGTGTGCAGACCTGCTGGCAGTCAGGAGCAGTAGCAGTGCAGTGATACAGCATTATACTCACTAATATCCCCTGCCATGTACAGGCTGGATCCACACAGAATTACGTGGGTGTAGGCACCATCCTGTGACATGCATGGTATAAAAGTTCTCTCCATTGTTTGGAACTTGAACTACAGAGGGGAAAAAAGGCTATCCCATGTCTGGTTTTAACCACTTTTAACTGGCCAAGCACCGTGACACATGTCGTTATAAGAATGAGATGCATTCCAGAAACACTGGTAGTACCCATTTTTCTCCTTTTTGCAGAGCATCCAAGTTTTTCAGTACCTGCATGTTGGGAGAGTTAATAGTATGTTTTTTCGCTTCATAAATTTATTGTACACTTAAGGTTTGCCTACATTGGAAAGCTGAGTAACACAATTAAAGTTGTTTAAAGTGAGTTGTACATTTTGCTGATCGCTTCAGTGACTGTGGTGTAGTTTAATCCTCTTCCCAACTTCACAAAAGCTGCATGTAACAGTCTGTGCAGATAATGTAGCTTGGATCCTTTCCACTTAAGTTGAAGTGAGACTTCAGGTACTGTATTTCTGTACTGAAAGGAGCACCAACTTACCCTTGCTGTTAAATTATTCTTTGCAGGTATGTTTGCGATCCGCGCTGATCATGACTTTGTAGTTCAGGAGGACTTCATGAAAGCTGTTAGAAAAGTGGCCGATTCTAAGAAGCTGGAGTCCAAGCTCGACTACAAACCTGTTTAAGTTAACCATATAATTCAGGATTGACTGCAGGGGACATACTGGGTTAACGTCTAAGAAGAGAAATAATGTACCTCTTGATTGTTATCATAAGGTGTTTGTATAACATGTAGCTAGTAGTTTGGTAACACTAGTTGCAAGTTGGCTACAGAAATGTTTTCTGTACAACTCTGAAATACAATACTCATTACAGCCCAGGTTAAGTAAAACGCGTGGAGATGTGTTCTCATAGCAATTATGGTGTGACTTTATAAATGTGCCTGGATGAGTTAGCAGTCTTCAAGAAAGTCAATTCATTTCTTGGTTGTTGTTTTTTTTTATATCAGTAAATTTCCTTTCATCAAACAGTTGAATAAAATAATAAAACTTGTTTAAATTGGCTTACCCCAGTGTACCTTCTCTGTAACTCTCTTGGAGAGAGTTAAATCATGTGTCTTCAATATTTGGAGAGGAACTTTTCTTTCTGGTGTAGTGAGTATTTATTTGAGTCCTGTGCTTTACATGTCAAAACATAGCATCTTTTTTTTTATCCTTGGGGACAAAGGAGAGAAAATCAGTGTTTACTCCTTCAGTGCTGAAGTCAGGAAAGAGGATTTAGCTGAGCTAGCTTTAGTTATTGCACGGAGTATGAGAACTGAAGAAGTCCTTTAAAATGTTTGCTGTCTTCCCTTATGCTAGGGTAAGTCTAATGCTAAATACCAGTTTATTGACAAAATGTCTAAGTGGAAGTGGAGAATCTGAGCTGGATTTCCTCTCCAAGTTCCCCTTTCAATTACTTCATCCAGTCAGGAACTTTCTGATATGCTTGGAACCTGTGCTGCTTTACACTTGAAGTGGCATATCTAATGCTCCTGGAGCTCTCAACATGCTTTGCGATGCATCTTACAAGGCTGGAATTTGGCCTTCTGTGGGCTTGGCTTTGTGCTCCCTGGGAACTTTCTGCTGCAGCTGTTTGAGTAATCATTCAAACAGAAATAAAAACGTGGTGGCTAACCTGTTCTTTTTCTTAAAGCCTTCTGTCACTATGTATTATTTCTGTTTTCTAATTAGTTCCACTGAGAGGGTGTGTGTGGAGATGGACTTACTGTGTGCAGTGGAACTTACTGAAGTGTTAGACTGGAACAGCAGTGTACTAGACTGGACTTCTGGCTACTTCTCACTATTCTAATTGGATTACTTTGGGCATGCTCAGCTGTCAGACAATTACATTAAATTAACTCTAGGCTCTCTGGGTAAGGCACCACTGAGCAGCATCTCCCTGGCAGTTTTGACAACCAGCATTGTATTTCATTCCCTATCACTATGAGACAAAGCAGAGGCAGGGGAAGGCAGAGAACAGCTGCAGCGGGACAGGCCCTATTTTCACATTTACAGCTAATGGCTGTTAGGGATTCTGGTTGGTATGAAAACTTCCTAACGTGATGGTATCAGGAGTATAAGATGCAAATTTCAATTCTAGTTTTCCATACCACGCATTTGAGTGCAGCTCAGACGGAGCTGCTGGGTCTGGGTGCTACACCTGTATGGTGTGCTCAGAACAGTCAATGTTCAATGAAAGTCAATCTCTGAGCACTGTGATGATGTAAAAATTGAGCTGAGCTTCTTCCATTACCTTGGAGAAGGGTAAAAAATGACAGAACAGTTTTGTGAGGTACTGAAAAGGGTTATATTTTTGAAGTTTGAGTGGCAACGTCCCAAGTATCCCTCCTTGTTCCTATTCAAGGTGCCGGCCAGGGCCATGAAGCACACTTCTCTTGCTGTGCTGCCCTTCACTGGTTCATTTTTGATCTCTCGCTAAAAGGAAATTGCAGAGCTGTTGCTCAAACACGATTGTCGCAGGTTTCTCAAGGGGGAGATGAGCCAGCAAGCGAAACAGTAGGATAATTATGGGTGAGGGGGCCCAGCAGAGCACAGGGCTGAGCTCCTGGCCCAGGACCATCCCTGGATGGGGTAAAAAAATGCCTTTTGTCTACCAGCCGAGACAAAAGTGTGTGTGTGCCTGGGGACGAAGTGGGCACACTGTGGGGCTCTGCCTTTTTCTTGGCTGCCACCAGCGCCTTGACGGGGAGGGGGGTGTTGTTGGCAGGGCGGCGGGGCTGGCACGAAGCCGTACCCCAGCTTTTTGGCTTTTCTACCAGCCAGCGAGCCCAAACCCACCAAGGAGGGGGATTTCTCCTCAAAATGGAAGCGGCGAGGGCCGGCAACGGGGAAACTTCGGCGGGCGTGAGGGGGAGCCCTGAGGGGAGCGCCCTGAGGCGAGCCCTGAGGCGAGCGGGCGGCCGTTGTGGCGGGGCGGGACGGAGGCGGGGAGGAGGAGGAGGAGGAGAAGGAGGAGGCGGAGAAGAAGAAGAGAAGGAGGAGGAGGAGAAGAGGAGGAGGAGGAGGGAAGAGGCGGTAGCAGCAGCAGCAGCAGCATGGCGGCCGGGCGAGAGCGGCTGAGCGCGCCGCCGCCCCCCGCTGCCACCGCCGAGCCTCCCCCCGCCGGCCCGCTGCCCAAATAGCCGCCCGGCCCCGGCCCCGCCCGGAGAGAGCCCGGCCGGCCATGGAGCTCGCCAAGCCGGCCTTCCCCGCGCTGCCGCAGGCCAAAGAGGACTCCGAGGTAAGGGCGGCCTGGGCGCCTCCGCCCGGCGGAGCGGGGTGAAGGGAAAAGGGGAGGCCCCCGGGGGGTGAGGGGAGCCCCCTATGGCCGCTCCCCGCCCTCCTCACGGCCGCTCCCCGCTGGTCTGGCCAGGCTCGGCTCGGCTCTCCCTGCTCCCTTCCCTCGGTCCTCGAAGGGGTTCCTGCACCCAGCCCTGCCCGCAGGCCTCGGGGGCCGCCGCTGGGAGGCTCCGTGTCCTTGCCCGGCCCGGGGTCCCCTCATGGGGGACCCCTCACAGTCCCCAGAGTCCCCTCACAACCCCCAGTGTCCCCTCACAACGGTCCCCTCACAGTCCCCAGAGTCCCCTCACAACCCCCAGAGCCCCCTCACAACGCTCCCCTCACAGCCCCCAATGTCCCCTCACAACGCTCCCCTCACAGCCTCTGCTGTCCCCCCATCCTCCCTCGCCCCTCTTTCTGCCCCAATACCCCAACAACCTCCTCTCCTCCACACCAACGAGCCCCTCCTGCCCGTTTCCTTCCAAGCAGTTAGCTCTGAGGCTCTCCACAAGCCTCTTGGCGTTTCGGGAGGCATTTCTGCCCCGGGACGTGACAGCGGCTGGAGGCAGGTGGCAAATATCCACCAAGGCTGAGCCGGGCCAGTGTCTGATTTCGGGGCTTGGCACAGCTTCGTCGTGCTGCCCTGGGTGCCGTTGGTGTGTCTTCATGTGCCACAAGCAGCCCCGAGCGTGATTCTTTGGTGGCATCCAGAACTTGGCACAAAATGTCACCACATCCATGCCATGAGCTGGTGGCGTCTGAGCTCCTCACGGCTCCACGGGCTGCCCCGCGTTTCAGGATATTATCCGAGACACAACGCGGTTTATTGCTGTGTCAACGGAGCCAGTGTTGCATGCTTTTATTGTGGTAAGAGTACCTTCAGCATTCCGGGTACCTGCCTTCTTCTTTCTCGCCTTTGTTGCCATGATTTAACGCCCTCTCCACTTCAGGGCTCGGCGAGTGTTTACAAATCACCTCGGTTGTTTTCGGCAAGTTGTAATCGTTGTGTTCAGATCTGAACGCAAATCCTGCGCAGCCCCGCCAGGCTTGTAATTTGTTTGTTTTTAAATATCTTTTCTTTCTGGAGAAACCAATCCCATTAGCTAAGGTTGCTTCTGGAGATGGTTAAGTAAATTAGGCTGGGTGACTTCTCGAGCCTGCTTCTAACTCGAATAGCTAAAAAGGAGTGTTTGGCTAAAATAGTTTTAAATTGAGAGGTCACTGCCAGTTTTGCTACACTTAGCTGAGTAAGGTGTGTTGTAAGACAGCGTCCTTCACAAAGCGGGGTTTGTTTCTTGCTTGATTTCTTATCTCTCTTTCGATAGTACAGTGTTAAAACTTCAAACGCCGCAGGTCCGTAGTGGAGAGTTTCAGGGACTATATTTAAAAACCATATGCCTTACGTGCTCAGTGCTTCACATTTGTGTCTGACTCTATCACAGTGTTTGGGGAAGCAGAAAAGTCGCAGCCGGTGTGAGAATGTCTAAGCTTGTCTACCTCTAACTTAAAGTTTTTGCTTTTTTTTCCCTTTTACCCTTTGCTTAAAGGGTAAGAGGCTGCAGCTGTGGGCCTTCAGCCCGATCCTCGAGAAGATGCTTTGGAAAAGCAACCTCAGGAAACTGAAGTCATTCTGCCTCCAAATTGATGGAGAGCTGAATATCAGCCCTTCTGTTTTGCTGTGAGGAGGCTCTTCAATGAGGATTCTCCCTAATATTCTTTTTTTAGGAAGAGGGTTGAGTGTGGTGTGGTGTCGTGGTGGGTTTGATTATAAGGTGTTGGTTGGAGAAGGGGCAGTGGAGGGAGAATTTGAGGAACACCTGGTGGACGTTCCGATGTGGACAACACAAGCACATACAACTCTGGTTGTTTTAACATGGTCCGGCTGCCAGCTCCCTTCTGACTGACACCAGCATCTGTGTGAGGGCTTAAAACAAAAAAAGCCAATTCGTGAGCCCGTCTGGTTGACTGCCCAGCTTCACGCCGTGGTGCTGGTACGAGGAAGGGTAAGAGTGGGCAAGGCTCTTGGGGAGGGTGGCAAGAGCCTGCTGCTGGATTGACTTCAGCAGGAAGGTGTTCTAGATTAAATAGAGATAAAAGAGATGGATGTCCTGGCCTGTGGATGGTTTGCAACACACCTAATCCATGCTTAGCACTAAAACCTGCTGAATTTTGGAACGACTGACCCCGTCCAAAAGTACCTGCTGGAGGCTGTGAAGTGCCGCGTTGAGACTTGCTGGCGGTATTTGCCTGCTGGATGGAGAGAGCCCTGCGTGCCTCCTGTGCATTCCTCCCCCGATAACATCTCAGGAACAACATCTCCGACACGGAGGGACCCCAAGCACGTTGGAAGCTCTCCTAGCAATGGGTGTCACTCCTTTTCCTGTACCTGCTGCGTGTTTAAGGCTCATCCTGGTGGCAAAAACGTGTTCCTGGCAGGTCAAGCACAGACAGGCGCCTGCCACGCGTCGGTGCAAGCGTGTGTCAGCGCCGCTTTTTAGTGCTTCCTCTGGCCCCTGCGTGCTGCCTGCCTAATTGTCTGGGTCTGCAGCGTGAGCTAACGAAGCTTGGGATCCGCCGGCTTCTGTCTCGTGCTGGCAAGCCTATGTTAGAAGCTGAACTCCTTTTTTAAATATCCGTATGCCGCGCGGGTTGTTCCAGTTGTAATGTTTGGGGATTGAAGCTGTAACTCCTCGTTCTTGCCCAGGTTTTCTGGTAATTGCTGTGAATGTCTGTAAATAGTGTGCGTT